CAAGTTCTGTGTCTCCATTGCCCTAGCCGATCTTGCAGGCAGGATAGACTGTAGGCTAAAAGTTTTGTGACTGGATGGATGTCCTTGGTAGAATAGCTAAAGCATATATTAATTTTAGGTTTAAAGCACTGTTTTTAAAAGGTAATATTAATGGGTTATTTTTAGTTTAAAACTTTAAAAACGATTAAAAACAGAATAAGAATATGTGTTTGTGATATTATGACTAATTAAAGATTTATAGTAGAGCAGGGAATCTAATATTTTGAAAAATGACAAAAATCTAACTAGCAACACTTAAAAATTCTTAGGCTGTACATAAAAGATGGAATTCAAATGATCAATACAGAAGGCAGCTAATTTTCTACATCACTAATCACCAGGTTATTTTTAAAGATAATCATGTTTATCTTCATACTCTCATTAATGTTGGTCAAGTAAGAGGCTAACTAGTGCTTGCAAAGGTTTGGAAGAAATGGGACCTTTAAACTATGTCAATGAATTTTCATTAGGAACAGCTAGTTAGAAAATGTTTAGCAGTGTGTACAAAAGACAAGTGTCATACTTAAAGATGCAACAATTCCATTCATGTATATAATGTCTATTTACATTTACACAGTAAATACACTGACATGTATTTTAGAATGCTATTTTAATAGACACATTTAGAAACAACCTAATTCCCACACAATAGGGAACATAAAAAATTCTTTTAGTATTTGAGATAATTGAGAGGAATAAATTGCTTATATTTGCACGAAAATAGATGTGTCTCCCATTTGTAATGTTTAGACAAGAAACTTGGCAAAGAAACTACAAAATTTTATTCACATGCAAGTCAAAACAGTAAATTCTATGATAATAGAGTTTTTGATGTTTGCTAAGGAGTAGAGACTGGAATATGAATGAAGTTTTGGGCATGCTATTAACATGCTGTATTTGACCTTGGCTGTGATTTCTTAGATGTGTGTAGTTTTGTATTGAAATGCTTGTATGGTACTATGGGAAGGAGAGCAATCTGTGCCTTTTTCCTTTAATTAACAATCATTTTTTACGGATACTGGTATAGATACACAATTGAGTCCACATTGTTCAGAAAAAAGAAGTAAATGATGTTTCTTATATGGGATATTTTAGTAAGGAAAAAGTAAAAATAGATTTGTTTTCTGTGTAATTGTGTGAAACAGAAACATGACTATAATCATGACTAGCTCTAGGATTTAAGGATTTAAAGTTCTGAATGGGGATGGAGGCAGTAAGAATGGGATGACAGAATGTTTAATCTTCACTTCTAAAATCATTTTGATTTTAAACCAGAGAATGTACTCAGAATATTTTTTTGAAATATAAGCATCTTAAGATGAAAATGATATGTTTACGAATTGCATTCTCATTTCTTAAGATTGCAGAGACTCAGTATGTCTCTCTTTTATAGAAAACATTGCATATAGAGTATAGCTTCTATATCAATTGTATCAATATTTACAATAACATACACCGGTGGTTGACATTTAACTTTGTGAAAGTGATGTGTGATTCCCATTTGTATGCTGTGAATATCATTGGGCCTATAGCAGAGCTATAAGGGAACAGAGCTAGGCATGGAAAACTAAACTGAATGCTGGGAAAAAAGGAGGCAGAGTCAGGGAGAAGCCATGGAGCCACCACTGGTGACAGATGAGCTGAAACTTGGCTGGTAGACCTTGTGGTGATGCACAGATTAATGAAGATGGGTTAAATTAAGATGTAAGAGTTAGCCAATAAGAAGCTAGAGCAGTGATTTAAATAACAGTTTCTGTGTGATTATTTTGGGGCTAAGTGGCTAGGAACTAACTAGCGGCCTCCTTACTACATGAAAGAGAGAGAGAGAAAGAAGAAGAAACAGCAGAGGGAGGGTGAGAGAGCAAGATGGATAAGGAGGAGGAAGCTGGCCCTCAGCCTTTGTCCTGGAAGGGAAAGAAGGAGAAAGGTGGATTAAGGGAAGACAATTGGCCATTGAAAGGAGCATGTGGCAATGTAGAAGGGGAAAAGTGGGAGGGTTTGGGGGACGGAGGAGGAGTCAGTGACTTTTAGGATGTGGTCAGAACAGAATGCTCAAGGTCCCAGTCCCCAGATAAATGGGAGTCTGGAGGTACTGCTACCCTAGCCAAAAAGATCTGGGTCATGGGGCACTGGCTACAGAAGGAAGGATGGGAGTGCAGAACCTAAAATTTATGAATGTAGGGGAGTTCAGACCATTTGTTCACATGCCAGCAGAAATTTTCACAGAAGATAGTAAAGTCAAGAGTTTCTTCTGGTGGTCATCTTGACTGGTTCTCAAGAGTATATTGAAGACAGGCCTTACAGTATATGGGAATCAGGTATTTGAAAGCTCTAATTTGAATAGATTTTGTAAAAGACACCCAAAGGGTGTATGGGGATTGGACTTAAACCTGCAGCTGCCAGCTTCACAAGCCTGTGTTGAAACCCAAAGTCTAAATCAATGTGTCCACTGCTATAGGCTCGGGTTCAGGGAAGGTGTGGGATGTGCCTTTGCGCAGAACTCTCTTGTACAAAAGGTTTCATGGAGCAAAGACAATCTTTGCTCTGCAAACAGGTTTATCTTGCCCTGGTATGGCCACGTCCTTATAGGGTATCTCAAGAGTAGGCTCAGAAGAGATCCTGGACCTCTATAGACAGTGACTTGGAATGGGTTACTTACTGAGCCAAAAGTTTATCCAGTCTGGAGGAAGGGGGGCCTAAAGAAAAGAGTGGAGTCCCGGGTGGCACGAGTCCATAAGGAAAGCTTAACTCTTTCTGAACAATGTACTAAGATGAAAGGTTTCCATACCCCAGTATTAAGTCTCTCCACTGATGCAGTAATCCAAATCAAGACAAATTAAAAGTAAAAGACCACGTTTATTAGGCAAAACATTCCAAGGTGACCTTTCTGGTCCCCAGAGATGAGATGGTGATAGGAGACTGGAAAACAAAATCAAATGGCTGCAATCAAAATGGTGGATTAAATACCCTGTTTGCATGGTCTTGGATAGCTCCAGGAGAGTAGCTGTAGCTTGGCAGACTTTCTGATAGGGTGAGACAGTTGAACACTTACCGTGTGTGTGTGTGTGTGTGTGTGTGTGTGTGTGTGTATTTTGAGACAGAGTTTTTCTGTGTATCCTTAGCTATCCTGGAACTTGCTAAGTAGTCTTGCTTCAAACTCAGATATTTGCCTGAATCTACCTCCCGAGTGCCTGAATTAAAACTGTGTCACGACTGTCTGGTTTCCTCAACCTCTCTAAGATCCACTCTTTGTATGATGATGACAAATGAATATGACAAACATTCCTCAGCTTGTGAGTAGAAGAAAGTAAGTCTTTCCATAGAAAATTACAATACAGATTATATTCTTAATATAAATTTGGAGGGTGTTAGAAAAATCAGTCAATAGTAATTTGTGCTCTAGAATAGTCATTTTGTACACTGTAAAGATTTGTCTCTGTGATAGGTTTAATAAACAAGCTGACTGTCTAATAGCTCAAGAGAAAAAGGTTAGGCGGGAAAGCCAAACTGAGACTGCTGGACAAAAGAAGTTTGGAGTGAGAGGAGATGCCAGGAGCCACAGATGGAACAGAACATACTGAAGGATGGGTAAAGTCACAAGCCACATGGCAGAATGTAGGTTAATAGAAATGGGTTAATTTAAGTTATAAGACTTAAATTAGTTCTATTTAAATTAGAATTAGCTCATTGTGTTTTTTATTTTAGAGATAAAATTATTAAACTCAAAAGGGATAGTTAGGAATAAGCCTGAGCTACCAGCTGAGCATTTATAAGTAATGTTAAACCTCTGTGTGAGTATTTGGGAGCAGCTGCAGGAAAGAAGCATGTACCTACAGTTATGAACCACCAATGGCCCAGAAAGACGGTTTAGCTGTTAATTGTACTTAGTGCTTTTCCAGGAGACCAGAGTTTGGTGCCCAGCATTCAAATAGGTGGCACAACATCCTGTAGCTTCAACGTTAGGAAACCTAAAATCCTCTTCTGGTCTCTGCAGTATGTTTACTCACAGTCACACTACTTCACACAGACACACAAATAATGAAAATATACTTTTCAAATAATAAAAATTTTAAAGAGTACCCTAAGAACTAGCCAAGAACTTCTGAAAGTTAGGGAAGGTTCAAGGCCTAGCTTTGAAATTACCAGTAACTACTGGCATATCCACAGGTGTCTTCTCCTCCAAAGTAATGATTGTATGATTATGAAGTTTGGGCTTTTCTTTAATCCCATTCACCATTAGTGAAACTGAAATTAGACCTGATAAGTGACTGAACACACTTCTCACATTGATCTGTTTAGAAAAAGTGATTAAAAAATGTTTTTTTGTGTGTCTCTTGGAGTATTTTCATTTTCTGAAGATGTCAGCTATGCTATGTGGATTTTTAATTTTCTACCAGCAATGTTTGTTATTATTATTGCCTTTTCATTTAGCAAGATTACTCAGGGAAATAGGCAGAGTTCTTAAATATGCTTTAACAGCTTTGAAATATTTCCCCTAAGAGTTAGGCAAGAATATGTCAGAATGGGTCCACAGAATGTCCTTTTCATCAGGAAAACACACAAATTACTTTCATTACATTTGAATTAAGGTTAACAGAATATACATAACTGTAGAGAAATAAGAAAACATGGGTTAAAAGATGTGTTCTTATTTTCTGTGTAATTTCAAACATCAAAATGGAGTGAAAGATGGGAGCAAGGAAAGCTCACACCCACTAGATAAATCCAAAAATTTAAGCAATCACTTACACATTCTCACCACAAATATAAATCATGAAGAAACATTTAAATGGAGAATTAACTTATTTGTTTTTTATTTTAGAGATAAAATCCATAAACTCAAAAGGTCTAGAAATACTTTATTGATGTAAAGATACAAACAGATGATTGTTGAGAAGATACCTTCAAATTATAATCATCAATGAAAGTTTAGACAAACTTTAAACAATTGTCAATGTTAATTACTCAATAATTAGTTTATCTAAATCTACATTTACAATAACATCTTGTTTTTTAAATCAATTTATTTCATAAAGAAATAACTGATGATATTTAAAACTCCATGGAGATAAAATTAGTAATCTCCAAAAGGTAATTTCAGAAAATATTTTCAAGCATATTAAGACGCTTTATCTGTCGCCACAGTAAATCTGTGAAGCACTGTGCTGCTTGTTTTGTTGGTTCTCCTTTACACATGGAGATACAGACTCAGTCCATTTGATAATTTTTCCAATACCATTTGCTGTGCCAGAACAGCACTAAGTAAAATCGATTGCTGTATTTATTTTACATAGTTTAATACCTGACACAGAGTAGAAAGAGTAAGTCCTTATTACATAGTCACTGAAAAAAAGTAATGTGGAGAATCCACCCCATCACAGGAATTTTAAAACAACTGTAATATTTGCTCTCTCTTCTTTTATGCAGGAAATTGCATGGATAAAACCACATCTAAGCAGAGCACTTCATTCACTGTCCTCGTAAATGAGTTGCTGAATGAAGGGGTTTTGCAAGATGGTACCATCCGCTCATATCTGAAATGATACATTTCTTGGTCTCCTTTCCCCTCCAAATGGTTCCATAAATCTAGTTCACTGTAGTGTTAGTTTGTTGCAGTGTGAATAAAATCTGTCAGCATCTGCTTAAAACTAACTTTCTTACAAAAGTTGTTGACATCCCAACATTAATACTGAGTAGAAGATCCACCCCTTAGTTGACGATTGATAAACTGACCTATAGTTTAGATCTCAAGAACTGTAGTTGGTTACATTGCTTGAAAACCAGTCACATGACTAGGTCATTCCCTGAATTGCTCAGCCAGTGCTAAACTGAAGATAGTGCCAGAAATAGTAAGTCAAGTCATCTCCTGAGTTAATTTCTAACAAGTTCAGCTGCAACTGGAAGTGTGATGAAAAATCACAGACACATTTCTTTTAGAGCTGAAAAGAAAAGCTCATTAAAACAGAATGTTTGTATCATCACTGAGATGAACACTCTCAAAAGTTATTTATGGTAATGCATGGATGAGCAAGTTAAAAATTGCCATTCATTAAACTGGCATTAATGTCCAATTAGTAAACGAAAGTAAGACATCTCATGAACATATCAGGACCAAAATGTCTCACTTAAACCTTGAACAGCATTTGTATTGTTTTCATTGGAAAAAGAAAATATTAAATTTTTACAAGAAGAATGTATAGAGAAACCCATTCTGTTTGCCTTGGTCACCTATGAATATTGATTTATCTCAATCTTCACCCAGGTGATGTTCACACTGGGGCACAATCTGGAGAAATGTGAAAATTTCACATCTCCTTGACTGACATATTAAACAAACGATTTGCCAAACATGCTTAACCACATGTCCACAGGAGAAAATGTCTTAATTGTAGCTCAAGACAAACCTCAGAAATAAGATTTGTCAAGCATATGTTCTTTGTCATGTCCTCTCTGTCTGATGTTTTAAGAATATGACAAGGGACTTACAACACTCTAGGGTAAGTCATACCTATTGTAGAACCTTGCCACAACTGAACTAGAAACAGACATGAATATAATGATAAAAATAGGTATTTGAGTAAACTGAGTTTACTCACACGATGCAGAAGAGCAACTTTTGTGTATGTTCCTGTACCTTTTAAGCCTGTTATCAATTTAAAAACTATCTGAAGCCAGAAATTTTGTTTCATAAGTGTGCCAATTACATTTAAAAGACCAGTACAAAATAAACTATAATGAGTGTACAACAATGCATAAAACCCACTAAATGTAAGTACCCTTCCCACAGCAATAGACACACATGAATATTCTTGAGTATTAGACCCTCCAACACATTTACTTATTAGTCAACCCCTTTATCCGTGCCATCTCTTTATAATAGGCAGAAAGGCAGAATGTGTACAAAGAAATCTCAGCACTGGATAGTTTCAGTTGCCTACACCACCATGGACTAAAGAAATGATTCCTTTCACACGGTCAATGCAGTTGTCAGGGTCATGCATGGGTGTCTACTGTCCTTGCTGCTTCTCTCCTGGAGAGTTTGTTTTGCCAGAGTTCTCTCCAGGCCGTTGTGCAGGAGTGACAGGAAACTGAAACCCGTAGCCATTGTATCCATCCAAGTAGACACATTGAAAGAAACTGATGGGATCTAAGGAAGGAAGTGGAATTTTTGTTACAAGTAGGATTTGGGCAGCAACAGAGCAGGCACATTGAGACTGTACAGCACAGTAGACTAACTACTCTCTGACTAGAGTTAGAGAGCCCTTATAACTACTAGACAAAACTAAACTTAATCATACCTTGGGCTCTTCATGCATAAAATCAAGATAATAGAAATCATGATGGGAATACTGAAAAAAATAAAAGAACCAACATAGTGTGTGTGTAAAATAATATCCCATAGAGTCTTCAAGTTGTAAAATAAGGAATTGTTCCATTTATCTTAATTTTGAAGCTAAGAGCTCTATTGAGACAGCCTAGTGCAGATAATTCGAGCATAGAACACAGAAAAGTGAAACAAATGTAGCACAGGACCAGTGAGATGACTCAGAGTGTAAAGGGACTTGCTGTCAATCTTGACTAAGTAAGCTCAAGCCCCATGATGGAAGGGAGGATTCAACTCCTAATACAGTGTCTTCTGACACCCATACACTAGATGTCTATCCCTCACCTCTACCTAACTGAAAAAGATAAGTTTTTAAGGACGACAGTGTAAATCATTGCATGAAGCAGCATGCAGAACCTGAGCGCTGAACATTAAATCAGGTCTCCCTGTAGGCATCAGTGCTGAGGGGGAGCACTTCTATAATCACAGATAAACTTCCTGATGGTTCACTATTTTCTAGCCTTTCCACACACACACACACACACACACACACACACACACACATATATATATATATATATGTTTGCCAACAGTTCTAGACATTGTGCAGAAGACCAGGGAAGAAAAGGCCAAATTTGTATGAATGAAACAAAATGTGGCAGAGTGGAGAGAGGCTGAATAAAGTAATACTTCCTCATAGGCTGGGCTGACAAATTTTCTTTGGTCTCAGCCTCCCAAGTTCTGAGACTACAGGCAGGAGTCACATTAAGGGTATTCCCAGATTTTAGGACTTAGAGGTAGTCTAGCTTCAATAACCAGGTTCTGATTATTAACAATTAACCTGCTTTCTGTTTTGTTCTACTTTGGTGGTACAAACCCTGTTTTTCCAAAGCTGTAGTGATTATAGCAGTGAGTGAGTATTAGATGGAAGGAACAAAAAACTGATGGAATTGGGAGAAATGGCAGCATTGGGGCTAAAATTCAGGAACCTATTCATGGCGGGTCTATCCTTTTTGAACCCCAGAAGATGCAGGTGTTGTCCTGGCATATGCATCTAACTCATGCTAAACGAGCTTTTAGTAAAAATATCACAAGCTCCAAAATGTTTAGAACCTGCATTAAAGGCTCATGAAGACTAGGATGTAAAACTACTATGTTAAGATAAAAATGGAAAAAATGCTGTGATATAATAAATTCCACGAGTAAAATTCTGTACTGAAAAGTATTTGACAATAGTTAATGTGTTTATTTTTAATTATATTTTATTTTTCTTTCTCTTTCAAGAAACATTTTGGTTTGTAACAATGGCTCTTCTGGGTTACTTAGTATGTGTCCCAGAATGGTTTTGAACTCAAGGCAATTATCATAATTCAGCATCTAGAGAGCTAGTAGTAGAAATTATGCCTGGACACTTTTTTAATCACATCTTTCCTTGTTGAAATAATTTTAGATTCACATGCAATTGTAAGAAACAATACAGAGATATTCCACCCATGTTCACCCAGTTTCCAATACAGACAAGATAAATAGGAAATTAATATGGGCACAACCTTCTTATTGAATTTCTAATGCGTATTTATGAAATTAGAAATTTCAACCATAGATGCAATTTAGTTGAAAATTATTGACAATGCTTTATCAATTGGAGAGCACTGCAACTTGAATCATAATTGCTTTTTCATGAATTTCGAAATGGCATCTGAAATTATTTCATCAAGACTGCTTGCATGCCTCCATTTATCACAGTCTGATTTTATTAAGCATTTCAGGGATCTTCTTTCAAGTATTGCAGTCATGACAGTATCACCAGCAACACTTGTAGCATTATAGATACCTGAAACTCTCCATTGTTAAACCACTGCACCAAATACCTGCAGAAGGAATGGAGGAAGCCATGCAAACCCTACAGGAATTATTTTCTCAGATAAATATTTAGTTCTTTAAAGCATTATGTGTGATGATCATATTGGATCATATTTTAAAACTGCTTGTTCTTTTCTTCCTGGTGAAAGGGGTGTGTGTGTGTGTGTGTGTGTGTGTGTGTGTGTGTGTATGTGTGTGTATATCCGTGATTTGTTGCTTTACCATCTGAATACAAATGTTTAATTTGGAAGCACTGGGAAATTGGGACTCTTGAGCCCCAAGTTTTGGAACTGCATGTGAATGCTGAATGGATTGTACAATCAAGGATCCCAGAAAATGACTGTTGAAATCTTGCCAGGTATTCAGGGATGTCAAAAGGAACTATGAATGTTGGGAATGAATCTCTAAGCAAATGAATTGCTAAAGTATATTTCTACATTTTTAAAAACTTGAGTTAGAAAAGTTCAGCACCTCACTTTTATGGATCTGTTATACAGCAGACAAGAACTCACATTTAAGAAAGATTTTGCTAGAAAGCCCAGGATCAGAATTATGCAGAATGGTTCATGATAAATGCCACTTAAATCATTACTTGGAGTTATCCAACCCTGTATCTCTTTCCTGACATAAAAATGACAAGTTTCTCTTTGGAGCATAAATGGTTCACTTTAAGGTTATTCTTCAGGTCAAAAATCTTTTTTTCCCTAATATTATTCGTAGGAGGCTCCAAGTTTAAGTTCTACATGATATTGAGAAGCTTGCCATTTGTCTAATTTAATTATAAACTTACTTTTTTGCTTCTTTTGGGAAGATACATCTTCAGTTACTTCTAGAGAAGAAAAATTTAAAAGGTAGGTATTAATACGTTCAGAGATATATCATAGTGTGCACATGACTTGAGTCTTCTATACATGAGCACTGTAACATGAGGGTCTGGCTTGTTGGGGTTTCTGTCCCACCTGGTACCCCACAGTCAACAAGCCCCAAGAAAATCACACAGAGATTTCTTTAAGTAATAAAGCTGATTGGCCCATTAGCTCAGACTTCTTGTTAACTCTTATAGCTCATATTAACCATTATTCTGATCTCTGTTAGCCATATGGCTTGGTACGTTTTTCAGCTGTCAGCTCACATGTTGCCTCTTTGGTGGTCTGGGCAGGAATGTTGGAGGGAGCTTCCTGCTTCCCAGAATATTCCCAGTCTCTTTGCTCCACCTCTACTTCCTGTCTGGATTTCCTGTCTATACTGCCTGCCTGGTCAATCAGCGCTTTATTAAAATATGATTGATAGAACACAGACAATTCTCCCGCAACAGAGCACAGTAAATTTTTTTTTTGATTTTATGAGAAAGGATTTCTATATGTAACAGCCCTGGCTGTTGGACTAGCTCTGTAGACCAGGCTTGCTACAAACTCACAGAGATCTGCATACCTCGGCATCCTGAGAGCTGGATTAAAGGTATGTACAACAACTGCCCAGCATGAGCACAGTATTTTATTGGCAGAAAATAAATCCTTCTTACACACTTGAAGTTTTTAATCAATTCAGATTTTCCCTATTAAAAATTAGCTTACAGGTATAGAAACATGCTTTTGGCAACGGTACAAACAGGAAGGCTGGCCCTGTTGGCTGGGGTGCTGATGAATGGGAACAAACTGGTCTATCTTCATTTCTTGATATACAATCTTTGATGCTCAGATTTAAGATAGTAAAGTAGCATCTTTGTAAATCAGTCTGTCTTTTTAGAGGTCAATCATTCTTATGTATAGGAAAGTTTGTGGTTTTCTTTTGATAGTTTATAATATCACATGGACTATTTCAACCAATAGCTACTTCAGTGCACTATGGGAAAGCAAAATTCTTCCTTTCTGGGATTTGGTGTTCTGTAGTTAACTTATTCATTACTTCTTTTCTGTCTCCAGTTTATCATAATTGCTCCATTCTATGCTTATATGCAATTGAGATCTAGTTTTTAAAACAGTGATGGTATATGGTGTTTGTCTTATTTCACTTAACACAATGACTTTCTTGCCCATCCATTTTGCTGCAGAAAATAGTTCATGGTTGTTTGGTGAATTGGTTGGCTGGTTTTGGTATTGGCTAACATTAACCAATAGTATATATATGCCACAATTCCTTTACTTTTCATTCACAAAAAGGTTTTTTTGTCCTATAACTATGTAAATAGTACTGCAATTATTATGTAAGTACTGTATCATTTTGTGATAATGACTTATTTCCTTTAAATATATGTCCAGTAGTGGAATTGACAGAAGATGTGTTAGGTCTATTCTTAGTTCTAAAAGCAACGCTTTTATCATGAATTGCTGAATCAATTTTCATTCTCACCAATTTTATACATTTTTTTTGAAACAAGCTAAAATCCAAAATTTATTTTGCAAGACATGGGTATCCACTTATCTTGCTGTGTGTTTCATTTTTAAAGCAATGTTTATCACATTTTTAATAAAGACTAGTGCCGGTTACAGAGCATATTATTAATAGTGAGAAAAACTTTTGGACAATTTTTACTATTCACAGCATAAATTATAAGTGTGGTCTGTGTAGCAGTTCTGGAGTCAGAAGGTAGGAGTCATTCTCAAGCAACAATGACAAAAACTGAAAAAGCTAGTTCCAAGTCTCACTTTCCAGATAGCAAATGTTTGATCTAAAGAACACTTTTAAAGGCACAGGGTTTTCTGAATACATATACTGCGTGTGTATGTGTGTGTCTTTTCTACAGCCTATCTTCCCTCCCTTGGATTTTTTTCTCTTTATGTAAATGCTTTTGTTATAGGTGGCTTTTTTTCTTAATTACTTGTAATTCTTAAGGAAATAATTCATTTCCAATCAATGAAGTGATAATTTGCTATTTAACATGATAATATTAAAGAACATTTCTGTAGGTTGAACAATAAATTATTTTTACTTGTAAATAGCAGACTCACCTTTGTCTTTATTTGAAGCCGATATGTCTTTGGAATCTTCTAGAGAACAAAAATGAAAGGCAAATCACAGTTCAAAATTCTTGTTGTTGTTGTTCAAAGGAAATCATTCTACTTAAAGATTTTAATGAGTTATAGGTTGGTAATCTACACTCAGCTTCTAAATCAAGCAGTTTGAATGGGGAAATGGTGTAGAGAGGCAGCACTGGGCTGCACCAAAGCCAGAGGGACAAAGTACAGGAAACGCATCTCATCAAAGTACTGCACACATCACATCAAACTACAGGACACATCACATTAATGTACAGGAAATAGCACAACAAAATGTTTCTAGGCAGCAAAGCAAATAATTGAGAATAAAAAGACTACTTATGAAATGAGATAAAATATTTGCAAACAATGTAGCGGATAGAAGATAAATCTATTAAAATATGTAAGTAAGCCGTATGCCTAGAGATAAAATAGCCCAATTAAAAATATCCATAAAAGGTATACACATGTTCAAAAGATACATAAAATGTGATCAATAACCATGTTACAGTTCACACGCCCCGAGAGGGTAAGTAGCAAGAAGTGCTCAAGTGGGGACAATCAGACCTCTCTGGGAAGGGGAAATAGAAGAGATTTTCTTGGAGGTCAGGGGCCAGGTGGAGATGGGAACAGGAGGGATCAAAGAGGGAGAAGGGGAGAGAATAAAATAAATAAATATAATGTATATTCATAAAAATATACAAGCATGATTCAAATATATATTTGTAAAACTAATTGTTATTAAAATAAAATAACCATAATAAAAGATAGTGAGTGTCATATTGACCATTAACAAATAATGTCAAATAAAGCAAATATTTAGAGGAAAAGAAGCTTTTGTTTTCACTTTCTTGGTTGGAAATTAAATTGGTCTGTGCACCAGAGAAAAATATTGGAGTTTTTCAAATGCATGAAAATTCTATATGTTACATAATAGCTAGGAACTCCAATTGGCGGTACCTGTTCAGGACAAATCTGGCTCATCACATGCATGTAATTTACTAAGGCAATGCCTAGAGAGATGTTTCAGTGGGTAGAGTGCTTGTGGGTATGGGGTCTTGGGTTTGGATGCTCAGAATAAACTTAATATGCAGTGGTGCACATGTATAACCCTAGCTCTGGGGATGAGGAAACAGGGGGAACTCTCTGGAACTTGCTGACATTCTTAAATCAGTGAACATCAGGGACAGAAATAGACCATGCCTGAAATGCCAATATGAAGAACTGTGTTTGAAAACACCATTCATAAACATATAGCTTCAACATACATGTGCATGCACTTAAAGAACCTCTACCTGCTCATGTGCACACAAAGTATATGCACACCAATGGCAATATGTACAATTATCTAAGATAACAGATTGCAAAGTTCATACCAATTACTATACTGATTATATTAGTCATAATAATTTATATTTGGATGCATATGTATATTAAAGCATCAGATTGCATAACTTAAAATGTACAGTTTGTCTTACCAACTGTATCTGAATGAAACAAGAGAAAAAGACATTAAATTTGAGCTGAATCTCGAAGATATAAACAGTAACTCACTTATATTTTGAAAATTACTTTGTCTTTTATATATTCTGACTTGCAGGTACAAACGGAATTGCATGCAAGAATGTTCAAATCATAGACAACACTAACATACTGTATTGGAGCAATCTTAATTTTCCTTGCAATCTTTTAGTACTTATAATTGTTTTATTTACTCAGAGTTTTCATACCATATTTCAACTGGTAAATAGAAAATGGGTAAGATAGTATTTGATATTTTCTAATAGAATCTAAATTATGAGCTTCAAGGAGAAACATTATTATATAAAAGAACAAAATGGAAACAAAACAAAATTGCTTCCACCACTTAAGTAGTTAGCAATTAAAGTTTGAACTGGCCTCTTTTAAAGTTTATTTGAATGTTGGCTTTGTTTATTTAAATACTGAAGAAATGGCCATAATCTTAACTGATAAGCATGCATAAATAAGGAAAATCTATGAATGGTGACATGGTGTTTGGAATAAGATAGTGTGTATCTTTTGAAAATGATGCCAGAATATATAAATAAATAAAATAACTGTTTTTTGTTTAGGTATATGAATACAAAATTTCTGCTTGAATACAAAATAGTACAAGGTCCCTAACCACAGAATCAGACATAACAGCTTGTATGTTGCAACATATTCATGCCGCGAATTTCAAGACCCTTATTATCAGATACAAGATTTTTTTCCCTTCAGAATAAATAAAAATGATCAGAATAAGCCTTAACTGTATTTTTAAAACATTTATTTTAATTATGTGCATATTGTATCTGTATATAAGTGTGTGTATGAGTACATTGCCTCTATATTCTCTATATTTCCATTTTTCTTTATAACAGTGTTATCAAACAGATTGTATAAATTTTATTAATATTAAGGAAAGGTTGAGGATTCCAGAGAACTATTGTTTATATATATATTTAATATATCTGCTGATAATAGATATATGGAAATTAAAACAAAATTAAAAAAAACATTTTGAAGGAATTCCAAGCATGTATTCCCTTAAAGCAATGATACATTCATGGTTTAATAGTCTCTGAAGAACTCTAATATAGAATCATAAAAATAAAATAGTGAGAAAGGTTATAGGGGATGAATGCTAATAGAAAAGTTTTTTTTCTTTTTTTCAGTGTGATTTTGTGTGTGTGTGTGTGTGTGTGTGTGTGTTTATTTGTTAGTTTTTCAGGTCTTATCTTCCCTTTCTTGCTTTCTTATTTTCTCCTTTTATGAGACAGCTTTACTATAAGTAACTTTTTTCTTAATTAAGAGTAATTCTTGATGAAATAATAGCTTTTCCCTACATAATAAAGTTACCTTTAAATATGATAATCTTTAAAGGATGTTTCTGCAAATTAGTCAAAAATACACCTGATAATTACTTTTAAATAACATTCAGTTATTTTTTCCAATATGTCATGAGATGCATAGTTCATAAAAATACAAATTGATTACAAAATAATTTAACCACATTAATGTGGTCTAGAAATATCAATAATTGTATCAAGAGATTGAACTAAAACAAATAAGCAATAAAAACCAAAACATTGCATCCTTGAGAGAAAATGTGTTAATGAACAAAAGAAAACAAACTCACCTTTGCCTTTCTTTGAAGCTGGTGTGATTTTGGAATCTTCTAGAGAACAAAAATGAAAAATAATTCAGTTCAAAGGAAACACTCTACCTAAAGATTTTTAAAAGTTACGGGTCACTAATCTAAATGCAGCTTCTAGCTCAAACATTCTGATTTGCGAAATGGGTGTAAAGGGACAGCACTGAACTGCTCCAAAAACAGAGGGACAAAGTGCAGGACACATTCCATCAAAGAACAGGACACACCACATCAGAAGGTTCTAAGCAACAAAGCAAACAATTCAGAGATTAAAAAGACACCTTAAATGAGATAAAACATTTGCAAACCGTAGAGATAGTAGATTAATATATAAAAATAATAAATAAGTCATATGCCTAGAGAGGAAAAAATAGCCCAACTAAGGATATTTATAAAATATATGCACAAGGTAAACAGAAGCATAAAAATGGGGCCAATCTCATTGATTATTGTGGAAATGAAATAAAAGTCATTATAAGACATCACATCATAGGTCAGAATGGCCATTATGAAATAATAACAAGTGTTTAGAGAAAAAGAAACATGAAAATTTGGGAATGGATGTTCTAAATCAACACAAAAGATCAGGTGTGATGGCACGTATCTGTAATCCTAATCCTAGAGATGGGGAAACAGAAGATCCTTTGGAGCTTGCTGATAACTAGTCTTTCTAAAACAAAAAGCATCAGGGTCAGTAAAAGACCCTGCCTCAAAAGTCAAGATGGGGAGCTATGAAAGAAAACACCTGAAATGGATCTGAAGAATTAATATATATATATGTGCACACCTGCAATGCCCTACACATACACATGTACACACAAAAACACATCACACACAAACACACTTCTCTAAGACAGCAGATTGTAATGTAAATTTCTTAGTATAACACTTAACTGAGCCAATTAATATGCTAATTAGCTTAGTCATCATGATTATATTCTGATGCATATGTATATTAAAACTTCACATTGTACACCTCAACATCTACAACTTGTCTTTACCAATTATACATCAAAGACTTAAAATGTACAATTCGTCTTTACCAATTATACTTCAATGAAACTGAAAAAAAGACATTAATCTTCAATTACAACTCAAAGACATAAACAGTAACTCAGTCATATTTTGAAAATTACTTAGTCTTTTATATATTCTGACTTATAGGCACATATGGAATTGTGTGCAAGTAATTTTAAATCTGCGACAACATTAACACAATATACTGCAACAATCTTAATTTTCATTGCAATATTTCAGTACCTATAACTATTTTATTTACTCAGAGTTCTCCTACCATATTTTAACTAATTAATGCAAAGAGGGCAAGATAGGTCAGTATTTGAATTTTCTCTAATAGAAAATAAATTATGAACTTCAAGGAGAAACACTATTATGTAAAAGGACAAAATAGAAAACAAAGCAGAATTGCTTGTACCAGTTTTATAGATTGCAACTAAAATTTGAATTGACCTGTTTTAAAGTTTATTTAAACAAGTTTGTTTAAATACTGATGAAATGGCCACAATCTTAACCAAACTGATTAACAGTTATAAATGAAAAAAAAACTATAAGTGGTGACATGATGTTTGGAAGCAACATAGTATGTATCTTTTGAAAATGATGTCAAACTACCTAAATTAAAGCAAAGATCTTCTTCCTTTAAGAATTTTTATACTTGTAAAAAATTTCTGCACAAAAGAAAAAATGGTTCAAGGTCCTCATCTATAGAAACATACATAGCAGTTTGTAGGTTATAACATACCACAAACTAAGATACTTAGTTTTTGGATACTTAGATTTTAGATATTTAGATTCTCAGAAGCAGTACTTTCCCTCAGGATTAAAAAATGATTAGAATAAAACTTAACTATATTTTTAAAACATTCACTTTTATTATTTTAATTGTGTGTGTGTGTGTGTCCATGTGAATACAGTACTTCTATCATAGTGATTCTCAACCTTTCTAGTGTTGTGACCTTTACTACAGCTCCTCCTGTTGTGGTTTCCCCCAAGCATAAAATTATTTTGCTACTTCATAATTATAACTTTGCTACTATTATGATTTTAATGTAAATATATGATATGCAGAATGGTCTTAAACAACCTCTGCGAAAGGGATGTTCAACTCACAAAGGAGTTTACACCCACAGGATGAGAACCATTGCTCTAGAATATGCCAGATCTCTTGAAGATGGAGTTCTAAGTGTTTGTGAGATGTCTTTCTGATATGGTGCTGGACACTGAATTCTGGCCCTCTGCAAGAACAGGAACTACCATTTAGTTGCTAAGTCATTTTACCAGTTCCCAAACATCACTCTTTCAACTGGACACTGTTCAGAGAGTGAGAGACCATGGCATGATCAATTTAAATGGGAGATCTTCATCAAGCCCCTCTTCTCATTACTCAGGGAACCATGTGAAAGAGAAGGTGGAAAAATTATAGAAGAATGGGAGACAAACACAGCCATAACTGATAGAAATGGCAGGAGTCAAAAAAAACAGCACAATTGCATGATGGCTGCCATGACACCTTTGGTTTTCATCTTTGCCTGTTGCATATTTGGGAGACTTTTAATATTTGTACAACATAAAGATATTGGATTGATGGAAAAATTCTTATTAATCATTTATGTCTTCTCCCAGGAATTCTACTCTAAGCTTCCTCAGGATAATCTTTAACATATTATCCCTCCTGCATTTAGGGAGACATCCTTATCTAATTAAATGTCTTCCTTATGTCTTGGAGGTTGTGACATATACAGAAATCAGAGGTCTCTTTATGAGGCCATGAGATATTCTTGAAAGAGCTGTCCCTGTACTTATCCAGGAACAATATATTCAAAACAAAGTAACTCAAAAAGAGCAACAAGATTCAGAGGGCTAGAGGAGTTAACCACTGACCAGATTGCAAGCCTCCTCCCACTATACACTCAGGCAAATACATGGCACATACAAGGACAAAGTTAGATTAATTGAGGTTGACTATGCCCTATACAGAGACTTATATTGTTGGCAAAAAATGATGTAAAAAGATGATACAATAATGAGATGTTAGAACCTCTCTTTCCTAGAAAAGTTAGAACATGCAGAATCAATGTGGTGTTATATGGTCAAGGAACAATAGAAAGCCTGGATTAGACTATAGACAACTATAAAGATACAAAATGTAACCATTGCATTATTCCAGAATTTGAATAATAACTGCCACAACTTTTGCTTGAGGATATTTCTTGGTCACTCTAATCTTTAAGAGTTAATAACACACTTCTTGGGTCATGGCAATTTGCCCAGACTAGCTTGTACATTTTGTTTTGGTTTAGTGTTCCTGTAGCCACAAAAGCTACTAGACTGTCATATACCTCTAGATTCTTTAAAAAATGTATTATAATGTTAATGAGTAAGAATGATTATACAAGATAACTCACTTTATCAAAGATGCCAAAACTTGAGGGGAAATGATTGGAAATTATAACTCTATTCTGTCATAGTTTATTAATGATGATTAAACATGATCAAAAGGATGTAAAACACATGTCTAAAACAGAAAAATGATATGATCTATGTATTGGAACAACATGAATCTATTTCTACTTACTGAATTCTGTATAAGTCAAGAAGCACTCTGACTACAAGTCAGTCAGGCTGCAAGATCCTCACTCCTGCTCACTTCTGTCCCCCACTAACTCTTCACACCTACCGCTGGGACCTATCCAACACTGGAAGTGGCTCCTCCAGGAGACACCAAGGAAACCATGAGTTCCAGACATGCCGGAATATATATATATATACAAACTCACAGAGAGAAAGGCAGCATATACTGTATTTTCATTGCTCTAAGCTCAATGAAGTCCCAGTGCTGAGAAACAAAGCAGCCATGAGCCTCCATACCTATCTCAGTAATTATCTCCAATTAATAACCACACACAGAGGATAAAGTGTTGTTTCCAATGGATTTTCACTGGATACTGAAACCACATTTAAGGGAGAATCCATGCACTAGATGATTCAGACAAAAATGAAAGCAAATGGTATTTTAGGATATGTCTCATAATACTTTGATTGGGCATTTTAAAAACTTATTTCTTTTGTTTATTTATTATGGTTTCCAGTTAGTGTTTCTATGGGTTTTCTGTATAAGGTGTGTGTGTCTGTGTATGCTATATTTGTGTGTGTTTGTTTATGTATGTCTTTTTTTGTGCTTTGCATTTTCACTTCTCTTTTTCCTCTGTTTGCTGATTTCATTTTGGTTTTCTTGTTTTTCTATTTGCTTGTTTTCTAGGAAAAGAGAGGAAGAACATGTAGTGCAAAAATTGGGGGTGAGACAAAAGAATGAAAACTGTGATCAGAATATACTATATGAGAAAAAACATTTTCAATAAAAAATTTAAAATGAAAGAAAGAGATTCGGAGCTGCTTCTGTAGTTAAATCTAAGTCATGATGGAGGCAGAATAGCATAGATTCTGTGAAGCTGAAGAAAAGGAGAAACTGAAAGTTCCATATGTTGTTGATTAAGAAATTATATACACATATACTAAATTTGTATGTAGTCTTCATATCTTATCTATACGAATACTTGCTATACAGATATTTATATGTAGTATGAACTTAAGTTTTGGTTAACTTTAATAGTCATAAAGAAATATGCACTCTAGCATCAGTGACAAGGGGACATAAGGTGGATAATCATAAAATTTTTGATTTTAATTTTAATTTTTAACTTTAAAGAAACAATTTTGTCTTGGTCCCATTCATTTTATATTTTATAAAATAGTGTTTATCAAAGAAAAATTATTTTTAAATATTAAGAAATGAATGAGGACTTCAAAGAACTTTGTTTATATACATAATATATCTATTGGGAATTGATGTTAGGAAGTTAGAACAATCATATAATAATACATTTTAAAACAATCCCAAGAATGTATTTCCTTAGAGCTATGATGCATTTAGGTATCATGAGATGTCTGAAGAACCTCAGTGCATATTTATCAGAATAAAAGAGCGAAAAATGTTAGGGAATGGA